CTCTTTGGTGTAGGTCCACCAGCTGCATATAATGCCCACCCCTCCCTGCATCCAAGCTTGCAGGATTTGTTTTTTATTGGAGGATTTTTAAAACACTTCGCGCGCACACACACAAACACACACACACACACAAAGTCGGCCCGCCTTCGTTTGGCGGGAAAGATCCGCAAGGTGCCGCCAGGGTAAGGCAAGCTAGTCCCAGCCTCATATGCCATGTTCTGCACAGGACTTGAAATCTCAGGTCTTGGCAGTAGACGCCTAGACTTTGCTGCGGTTCGGGCAGGGGGAATACCTGAGTTTTAGAAACCTGGCTGCAACGTGACCACGGTCTGTTTCCAATTCCTAGGAACAAAGGGAGACAATGGAATAAACCAGCATTGAGACCTGAAAAACCTGTCCCAGCTACCCAACCCACCCCCACCCCCCACCTCAGTTTGCACGGTATCCGGGCTGAGCTGTGTAAGGAGCTACTCGGGAAGAGCTAAATGACGCGGCTAAAATTCTTAGGAGGTAGAACTGGAGGCAAAAGGAATTGTGAGATTTTTAAGTAAACAACATGTTATGTAATTAATATTAAGAGTCTCTAGTTTTTGTTTATTTCTCGTAATATATTACTCCAGCAAAAAAACCCTAGTTTACTGTATTTATACTTTAAACAATTAAGTGAAGTTATTTCCACCTGATCCATGAGTGACTAATGCTGTTTTAGCTAAATAGTAATGACTCCTTTCATGAGAAACACCCATCTTTGACAAACATTCAACTTATCTAACAAGATTGGCTTCCATCATTTTACTTTTAAGACAATTTATGAGAAGACACTTATCTAAACTGAAATACATTTTGCTTAGAGATTTACTTGAGCGGAGATATTTTCCCCCCCTTCAAATAACCAAAGAATCATCTCAGAGAATACACTTCTCTGGGGCAATTGTTTTGAAATATGTATGATATTGATTTGTCTAAAATTGCATCCGTTCTAAATATTAATTATAAATGAAAAATGAAAGTGATTTTAGCTAGCCAGTACAAGGCCACAGTAAATTCTTAAACTTCTGCAATGTAGCTTTGTAGGGCTCTCACTAGGTGAAATGAGGGAGCAGGTTTTCAGTTATTCTACCACTGCCACCACTGCTCCTACTGCTACCACTACTAACTGCCACAGTGAGCCCTATAGGGCAGAATAGGGGTTTCTGGGATGTAACTCTTTATGGGAGTAGAAAGCCTCATTGTTTTCCAGAGTGGGGGGTGGTTTTGAACTGCTGACCTTGAATAGTGTATAAAAAGGAAATACTGTTTCTCTTTCATTGGTTAAACTTCATGATCAGCAGAGCAGACTAGCTCCACATTCAGAACTTATTTAAAAATCATAGCATTCATAGGCAACTAAGCCTTGTCCTGTGGTAACATGTGTTGCTAGTGATTAACCTTACAGAAAGAAATTAAAGTATATTTGGGGCAGGAGCAAAAGTGTTGCTACTTCCCTTCTTTCCACAACACATTGTCCTTCTAAGACATATGTAAATCACTATTCACTCATTGTTTGCCATGGATAAAATTTGTGATTTGTCTTTTGACTCATGATTCCTCACCAGTGGAGTTTAAAACATCAGGCCTCTGGGTTTCCTTAAAATTCACTCTTTGGAGAAAATATGGAGCATAATGACTTTAAAATTAAAAGAGCTTCAGTTGTGTATATAAAGAGGTTTCCTTTTCCGTGGCTTCTCATTCAGAACTTCCTCCTGGAGAGAGCATCCTCCTGGAGAAAGCACTGCCCCTTTTCAAGGTCATATTTTCTCTGTGATTGTCATGCTGTAATAATTGTACCACAAAACTCTCATCAAACTGCATTACAAATGATAGTGTTTAAACAATCAAGTAGCTTTAATCTTATGTTTTAAATAAATAATATATGTGCAGATTGCCTACTGTCTGAAAGAAAATAGTCCTACTCCTGTAATCTATAATTTTGATCTTCTATTTAAAGCCTGTTAACTGTAATCTTCTTTACCTTTAGCATATTCATATGTTGGTGATGATTTTACATGAAATTATATTAAGGCGTTCTGTTTTCATAGGAAATTCTGGGGGGAAAAACAGTATGCTTTTTTACCTTCTGAAAAGGGCACACAGATTGTTTATTTTCCTTGATTCATACATAGATGCATTTCCACTCATTTGCTGCCGATGATCAAATTTTCAACTCACCAATAACATACATTTAAAGAAAATAGAACAGTTAAATTCTTTGCTGTGGAGTAGATTTTGACTCACAGTTACCCTATATGTCACAGAGCAGACCTGATCCGCAGGGGTCCTCTTCACTATCAATGTTTACAAAAGTAGATAGACATGCCCTTTTTCATGTGCTGCTGGATATATTTGAACCTCCAGTCTTTGGGTTAGTAATTGTGTTTAAACTGTCTGTGCTACCCGGGACCTTATGCCAGTGGCCTAACTCAGCTCACTGACTGCTACCAGGTCAGTTCTGACTTATATCAACCCTGTAGGACAGAG